AACTATTCTAATTCTAAAAATATAATAAAACAAAATTCTACATCTAATTAAATTAAATAGGTGATAAAGATAAAAAAAAAAAAAGAACAAAATAGTAATATTTGCAAGGAAAAAGAGAAATTAAAAAGGATTGAAATATTTACGAAAATGCCCTTAGGCCACGTGTCGCGCTCCCATTAGGCAAAATAAATCAAGATTTGAAAAACGCTCAAAGTGGACACGTGTCTAGACGGCATGAAATTAAGTGAAAAAAAGCAAAAATATTTACAAAAGCTGGCGGGCAAATTTAGGGTATGACAATAATCAATCCTGATTACAAATTCAATGACAACCTCTCAGTGATTTCTTAAGAATTCTGACCTACCTGATCCCCTAAGAAATATGACGGCCATTGACTTCTTAAGATCTTGACCAACCTGGTCGCTTAAGAAGATTTAATCCTCAATGACTACCTGTCACTAACTTCTCAAGAACCTGACCAATTTAGTCGCTTGAGGAATATAACCAAAATTGGTTACAACGGATTTTTGTTTACAAGTGTGCTTCTTCTTAAATAAGCAGATAACACAAGTTTACAACTAAAATATACACTTAAGCAAGATATAAAATGTTGAGCTCTAAGTTCTTTTCTTCTCATTCTTTCTTGCTTTTGCACAGATGCTCTTTTTGTTGTGCTTTTGCATTTGATCTTTTGATGATTGAGATCAATCCATGTGTCTATATATTTTGTAGCTCCAAATCAGTGAATTGTGTTTCTTATTGTGGTTATGGGTTTAGAAGACATATTGTGTCTACCCGTAGTTATAATCAGTGAATTGTGTTTCTTATTGTATTCAGATTTGACTTCTTTAGAGTCTGAATCTATTTTCTTTTATATGTGCACTAAAAACACATAGTCAGAGTACACAATCATTCTCTAAACTTTGTTATCATCAAAACAAAAGGATAGTTGTAGAATCAAACATGTTCTTATAGATGAGCCACAAAGGGGAAGAGGCTCATTCTGAGGGGGTCGAGGTAGAAGAAGAGGGAGGTCATCAATGAATAAAGCCATTGTAGAATGTTTCAAATGTCATCAGTTGGGACACTTTCAATATGAGTGTCTTGATTGGGAGAAACAAGCTAGCTATACTAAACATGTAGAAGAAGGATAAGAGGTTTTGCTGATGTCTTATGTTGACGTTAATCAAACTAAAAGAGAAGAAGCTTGGTTTCTTTACTCTGGGTGTTCAAAACACATGACAAGAAATAAAGAACGGTTCATAGAGCTAAAGGAAGTATTTAAACAAACAATGAAGCTTGGAAATGACATTAGAATGGAAGTGGTAACTAAAGGGATTGTACGACTACAAGTGAACGGTATTATTCAGGCAATCTCAAATGTTTTTTACATACCTGAGTTGAAAAGTAATTTGTTGAGCATGGGACAACTTAAGGATAAAGGTTTAGTTGTTCTGATTTAGCAAGGGACTTGTAAAGTTTATCATCCTAAAAGAGGGTTAGTTATTAAAACTAACATGAGTGGAAATATAATGCTTTATATGTTAGCATCTATGGTAGCAAAGGGAATTCTTATGTGTCTTCAGTAGGGGTGGAAAAGTGGGCAGCCCGTCCCGTTTAGACCCGCCCCGTTTAAGCCCATTCAAAAAGTGGGAATTCCTATTTAAAAATTAACTACTAAAATAACCCAATTAAGAGTTTACAAAAGACAAACAATGATAACAATTACATTGTATAAAACATCACAGTGCATAAAATATCAACACGTGTTTTTCTCACTGTTTACATCATATAGACTCTTATATTGATTGATTCCTTAATAGTTAAATCATAAATTTGTCACATGTATACACTAATCAAATCCTTTCTTTTCTTAAAATCAACATCTATTTTTAAAGAAAACATGTGAGCTAATGTTTGACAACTTAATAATTCAGTGTGACATACAACTGTTCTTTTATTTTAAGTTTTTCCAATCAACACATGTATTAGAAAGTTATAGAAAGAACGTTACAATTATAATTTATTTTGAATGTATAATAATTTATAATACAATTCAATCAACATAAATCTAAGAGAAGAGTGTTGTTTTTATAGTTAAAGTTGTTTTAATTCTAAATAAAAAAAATAAAAAGTTTTAACAAAAAGTCTATGGGCAAACCCGTCCCGTCCCGCCTCGGCCCACTTTTTCAAGCGGGTTAGGCGGGGTGGGCCAACTCAAAGTATCGAGCCGAAAACTTCAGCCTAACCCGTCAAAAATAGTGGGTCAAACGGGCCGATCCGGCGGATCTGATCCGTTTTGCCACCCCTAATCTTCATGCTGAACTTTCCTCTAATAAAGAATCACACATGTGACATTGTCGATTTGGCCATCTGAAATATTCATGATTAAGAACACTTATTCGGTTGGCAAACAACATAGAAGATCCTTTCCAAAACAATGTTCTTGGAGAGCGTCAAAGCAACTTCAACTTGTACATTTTAATTTGTGTGGGTCTATCAAACCTGCTTTAGTGACAAAAGATATATCATAAGTTTTATTGATGATTTTTCCCATAAAACTTGTTTTCATTTTTTAAATGAAAAATCAGAAGCCTTTAGTGCATTCAAGAATTTCAAAGCATTTATTGAAAAGGTTTGGTGCATATATAACTTATTTGAGAACATATAAAGGAGGTGAGTTTCACTCAAATGAATTTGGAGAATTTTGTAAAGCTCAAGGTATAAAAAGGCAGTTGAACGAAGTTGCCAAACGAAAGAACAGAACTATTATTAATGCAGTACTTTAAATATTAGCTAAAAAGAAAGTCCCAAAATTATTTTGGCCAGAAGTTGTAAATTGGTGTGTTCACGTTCAAAATAGGAGCCTGACTGTAGAGGAAACATGGAGTGGAGTGAAGCCAACATCAAATTATTTTTGGGTGTTCAGTTACATAGCACACACTCATGTTCCAGACCAAAAGCAAGAAGTGTGTATTCCTGGGTGTTAGTAATAAATCCAAGGCCTATAGATTATATGATCGAACCACTAAGAAGATCATCATCAGCAACGATGTTATATTTGAAAAAGGAGAGAGTTGTGATTGGGGTATAACTGGAGAAGAACTGAAATTGGATAATGAAAGTGAAAAGGAGCATACTGAGGAGGAAAAGATTCAAGAGTTCATGGGCAACAATACTACTTCATATTATTCACCAAAAAATGATGTAAACACTTAAGAAGTTGCAGATGAAGGGAAGGGTGAAAGAATCAGAACAGGACCGGTAATATTAGGTGAACACTTATTTTGTTGTAGTCTACTGTTTTATTAATTTGTTAGAATAAGACTTATTATTTATCAGAAATAGAGTTTGTTATCTGTGTTACTAATCTGTAGAGTGTGTTATTTTCTTTGTTTGTAAAATGATTATATATTATTAGCCACTGGTTAATCGAATAAAAATTACATTCCTCCACTTATGTTTTGAAGCTTTATTAAAATCTGATTTCCAACAAATAATTGTTGTATAAGAGAATTCTATATCAACAATACTTTTCAGAAAACAAAGGACAATCTCATTTGACTCTTCCGAACCTTCTTTGAATCCTAATGTCGGTTTGATTTGTCAAAAATAAAATAATGTTGTACAAAACAAAAATATTTAGGGATTTCTAATCCCGCCTTAAGAGATGCATGAAAATTCAAAAATGTTCATCTGATTTCGAAAATACATCTTCGGTCGCACTCTTTACCCACTAAAACATGTCCAAAGTAAATCTTATTCCGGAGATGCATTTCTGACTTCACCCTACGTGCATCCTATGTACTCTTAACTAAGACACATTCATTTTGAAATAAATTTATCCGAAGATGCATCTCCGAATTCACCTCAAACAAAATATGAACATGAGTTTTCGGACGCACTTTGATCACATCTAAACACGCTCAAACTAAATTCCACTCTTTTTCTTTTTTTTTTTTGAAAATACATCTCTAGAATCAGCTTATCACTAGTTTCCTCCTTTTGTTTTTAATGCTTATCTTACTAGAGCAAACTAACAAAATTTTCAACCACTCTATTGATTTCTCAGCATAGTGCATAGTGAAAACAATAGTATATAATCAGACACTTTTTCCTAGTTGTAATACACCATTAAATTGATCATGATTCACAGATACTTCTAATAGCAGACAATTAAATTGAGGGTTAAATTACGTTTGAATTTATGGATTTTTTTTCTGTTTTTAACAAACTTTTTAAAAAAACTAAATTCAAATTCTATACAATAACCATGACAAGATACATTTTTTTTTATTCAATGTGAAATATGTTTTATCTCAAAATATAACACAATTTTTAAAAAACTAAATTCAAATTCTATACAATAACTATGACAAGATACTAGATGTTTTTCTATTCAACCTAAAATATGTTTTATCTCAAAATATAAGGTATCTTTAGTTTGAATTTTTATAAAAAGTTAATAATTAAAAAAAAATCATTTGCATATATAACTATAACATAAGTTTCTCTGCATTTTTTTAGTTTGGAAGATTTTTAGTTTGGAAGGTTCCAAAAATCCATTTTCAAAATAAATTTATTCATAAAAGTCTAAAAATACATTTCTGAATTTTATGTATAAAGCAATTTGTAGAATTTCCCTCCCAAATATTTATGAATGATTTGATCACCAAGCTTGACAATGCAAGTGTACCAAAACACATCAAAAAGTAAATCAAATGTCATACATTTTTTACCAACGTTTGAGTCATTATATGGTTCAACCATATCATTCAGGTTCCACTTGCTAAGTTATCAATAAAGTAATAAATCACTAGAATATCCACCATAGTGAACAACTTGTTCCAATCTTCATTAATGTTGCTCAAAATGGGAAAAAGAATACGATTCTGTCATTCATTCATCTTCTTGCAGCAACTTCAAATTATTTCACTTCTTCAAGAATATATGTTAGACATTTCAAAAACATGAACTGGTGCAGCATTTGTTGTAGACTATTATGAAGCTATCAGTGACATCAATTGTTGTTCCACTTCTTTCCAGTTCTTAACTTTGGTCACCAAAGGATGCTCATCGACTAACTCGTTCTTGGACCAAGGATAAGAGTTTTCATAGTCAAAAAGTAGGACTCTAATTCCAACATCAGCACACTCTATGGCATACCGCGGGTTATCGTCAATAAGAACCTTGGCGTTTAAAGACCTGTTAATGAGAAACAGCAAGTTTGCATCTTTAAGTGATAAAAATGAGAATTTGAACACAAACTATTATAAGAATTTGTTCGGATTGACTTATTTGAACTTATCTATCGAAATACGCATTGTTATAAAACCAAATCATAGAGAAATGCAGATGCAGAGGATCAAGGCGCACCTACAAATCTCTGATTTCGGTCTTGATATTCCATCAAGCGCAAAGTGATTACCAAAGTGAATCTCGTGAAACAGTCCTGGGAAATTCTTCTCTATCCATTCAATTGTGTGATCCTTAATTACGTTTTGCCGAGACCTGAACATATGATAAAAGAGATCAAGTTAGTTGATTGTGACAAGATTTGTCTATAGGTTGATGAAAAGTTCAATATACCAAAATCATACGTTACAACTGATAGGTTAAAAAATCTCGATAACTTTTGAAGTGCCATCTGAGCACCTGGGAGAGGGTGAATCCCTGACTTGAAATATGGCGTCTTAAAAAACTCGTGAACGCGAATATCAGCTGCAGAAAAAAGATATTGATTTCCATCTAATCAGTCCATTAGTCATTTGAAATCATAAAATTATTTTGGTACGCAAAAACTCCTAGCTCCTACATAAAAACTTGATAAAATTATTGCACTATTTGACCCTTTTGAACAAAAATTAAGCAAAACCCACTCTAAAGAATACGGTTAGATATCTCCACTATTGGTGAGAAATCAAATGTTGATGCATAAAAACATCATTGTTAATCCACATTGACAATCGAGATGTCTTAGTTTTTTCTAAAATGAAATAGAGAGTTTGATGAATACACAGTACCTTCGTCACGTGAACAGTTCCATATCTGTAACAGAGATGAGAGGTTCATCAGGCTCCACATTCAAACTGATCAAACATGCACAATTTCACAACAATGCAATGGACTACAACTAATATACAAGCCACATACACCTACTGCGGAAAATAAGGTTTAGCTTAAAACAATAACCATGTAAGTGCTCATAGAGAAGAGGAATGCATAAAATATGGAAAGCCTATGAAAGCCTTATGGGTGAAATAGATTTCCATTCATAGAAAAAAGTGGTCTTCTTCAGCAAGAGGCAAGATTTTAATAAAATTTTGGTCTCTGACTAAAATTCATGGGCCATATTTTTTCTTAGGCACCATTGAACAACAAAACAGTAATAAAAATAAAGATGATGCATCAGTTAACATGAGAATCTGAAAAAATATAAAAGTTCTTGCCCGTCGACATTGTTTAATATTAGCAAAAATTGGTAAAAGTCAACCACTTATCATGGAAACATGGAATAGCCAAAGCAGCCAACAAAGATACCTTAAAGAATTCATACACATGATATTCAGAAACTGAATAATTTGATGAGTATTGATCCGCAATATACTTGTTGAGAGCCGACACAAAGTTTCCCAATACTGCATAAAAATGTCAAAAAAACAAGTACACATCAGAGAACACATGTGGATAATCTTAGAATTCAACTATGTATTAGCCAGTTTTAACAATTGAGCGAGAACCAAGAAGAAAAAAACTGATTCAAGTGAAGACACCGTACTGAAAATAGGGGATTACCAATTATTCATGCATACCTGGTGATGAAAAATCAAAACTATTTAAACACGCACAAAAAGGACGGGACATATCTAATGAGAATCTTATCTTGACCCTCCATTAATATAAGATTGATTCGTTCTCTAAGAGCAACAATATTAGAGTAATCACCACCATGAGAGCATAATGATAAGCTATTATAAAATATACATTGAAACTAGAACATGTAGTCAAGATTCTACACAAGATCTTCATTTTAAATATAGAGAAATCAATTCAAAAAGTATTGAAGACATGCCATAAAATCAAACAAAAGGGTGCCCCATGGCACATGCATATCGAATTGCTTACATACCCTCATCCACATCAACAGCAACAACAACTTTCTCAGACAAACGTCGATCCCGAAAACAACGAGGTGTAGCCGGACTTCCATTTAGTCCTCCATCATCAACCTTAACAAGAGTAGCATCACCACCAACAGAACTCCCTTTCTCCACATCAGACGCAAAGCCGCGAGACCTGGCATTAGCCCTCACAAAGAATCTACTACAATTACTACTACCACTGTGAAAGCCACAACCTTTTCTTCCAAATCCAATTCTTCTACTAACCCCAAAAACATTAGTAGCATAAACCTTGGTCAAATGGGAACAAGGATCATAGCCTATTGAATAAGCCATATTATGCAGAGTTTTCTGATACAAAAATCGTGCAAGATTTTCACTTTTCTTTAATCTAAACATAATGACACTAGAATCTCGCTACGATATTCTTGCATCACAATTAAAAATTAAAAAGGGGAAAATTAAATTGAAGAGATAAATATCAGAAGGAAAAAAAAAGCAAAATCATATTCTTTTTGAAACGGAATCACAATTGATTGAACAATGCAATGATCAAAGACCAATCATTTGGGGAAAAAGTGTGTCGTCCAATAACGCAACCGATTAAAACCCTAGAAATGAAAAGTATACTGATTGGATGAAATCGAATCTTAATGTAATGTGTTGGATTGGATCCAATGAATAGAGACGGAAAAGGTGAGAAATTTGAGATGAATTTGCGGAATTTGAGAAGGGAAAAATGGTGAATGCTTGAAGAAGCTTTGTTTGTTACTGACAAACACTGTTAAAACAGTTAATAAGATTTCATTATGAGATGCATCGAAATGAGCATATTTTTTATTGGATTAATAGAATTTTGTTGATATCAAGAGCAATTAAAATGAAAACCGCTCGAGCCGTAAAAAACGAAAATTCAAAAAATTAATTTTGAATTAATTCCTTTCATAAAAAAAAATTTCTAATATTTTAATGGTCAGAATTCACAATCGAATGTACATGCACTAAACAATTGAATTGTGTCAATGTGACGTTACTTTTGTAATGTTAATTTTACTTAAAAGTGATTTGTATGTAAAATAATTTATATTTAAGAAAATTATTTTTAGTAAATTTGTATTGGAAAAAATAATTTAAAAATTAATTTTATATTTTAATTTAAGTTTGTACACAATTTTCAAGATGATATTTCTTAATTTAGTTTTTAACATGCGCCCTAAAGGCACAAGTTAACATTACTCTTATATATATGATTTGATTAATAAAGTTAGGATCGGTTTGTTTTGTCTTTTTTAAAAATAATTTTTATAGTGTAACATAATTTTGTGAAAATATATTTACAAATTAATTTTTTATAAAAATTTGATTTGAATAGTTATTTTTAAAATATTATTTTAGATATTTTATCAGTTTATCAAAAAAATTGTATATCAAAATTTCAAAAAAAACACTTAATTTTAAAACTATTTTAAATAATTTTTCATAAAAATTATTTTTGAAATACAACTTTTTTTTAAAATTACAATTTCAACTATGTTTTGATGTGCAATAATAATATATGTTTATGTTTTATATATATATATATATATATATATATATATATATATATATATATATATATATATATATATATATATATATATATATATATCAAATTTAATCTTGTAATTTAGAAAAAATAAATATAAAAAAATTTGTGACATTTTAAAAGACGGTTTTACAAGATTCATTTTTAAAAATACAAACGAAAAATCTATTTTTTTTAAGTTAAAACAAACATATCCTTATTAACGAATAAAATTTAATGTTAAATTACTTTTTTTTAATGTGTGTTTGATTTTGAGTAAAGAATTAAAAATAAGTTAAATATAAAGTAATTATCCAAAAATATGTTTTGTTTATGAATTTTCTCATTTTTCTTCTCATGTTAAAAGATGGGAATCATACATTCTCGTAAAAATATAAAATAACAAACCATAACTCCACACTTTCATGTTATTTTAACACATTATTTTTAATTTTAAAAATTTAATTAAAATAAAATTTAAAAATATTCCTAAAAAAATTTTTTCATTTGCAAACACATTGATTAGAATAAAATTTCTGAGAATAATATTTCTAAGAATGATATTTTCGAAATTATAATTTTAATCTACCAAACAAACACACTCTTAAATCATATACTTCAGTATAAAAATTATATTTAAACATAATTTGAAATTATAATCTCAAAAACTATGCATCATGATTTCAAATTATAATAAATAATAGATGCAAATTAAAAAAAAATTAATGAAAAAACAACATAAAGTTAAGTTCTTGTTACACTCAAGTAGAATCTGTTAAATAGATTATTGAATAAAGGATAGTGATAAATAGAAACACTCTTCGTTCGTGAATAAACGATACTCGTAATTTAATAAGTCAATCATAATTAATATTTCATTCGAGTAAAATATAAACATATCCAATCTATTTAATCCAAATCTATTTTAAACATCAAGAATTTGGTTCATCTGCTAGAGCTCCTATAGTAGAAAAGACTTCAATCTAAAAGATGAAGAACCTAAAAAAGAAAAAGAACTCAGCTAATGACAGTGGGTCATATTAGAATATTAATAGTAATTCATATTTATTTAGTTGTACTATTTTCTTAGCCCCTAAGTTTGTTAGAGGGTATTTTAGTATTTATCTTATTCTAGTAACCTTAGTTTTAGCTTATAAATAGGGTGACAATCATTGTAACCAAAAATCATGTTTTGTAGCCGTCCTTCTTAATAGAATATTTCTCTTTTTCATCATTTATTCTACCTTTGCACCAACAATTGGTATCTAGAGCTCCGGTTCGGATTCATTGGGAAACACGGGAAACACGAGTGAACGTGAGGTCTTGTGTGTTTGATTTTGATTCTTAGATTCGTGTTGAATCTTGAACAAAATCTGATCAGAATTTTATTCTGTGGGTTGGGAAACACTGTGTGAGAAATCTGAGTGTATTGTGCAAGGTGAAGATGAACGGAAACGGCAACATGAACACCAAGCTTCCAGTATTTGACGGTAAAAACTGGAATCGTTGGATGATCCAAATGCGTGTATTGTTTGGTGCTCAAGATGTTTTAGATCTTGTCACTGATGGTTATGTTCCGGTAGCAGCAGATGCGACTGATGAACAGAAAAACGCGCAGAAGGAAGTAAGGAAGAAGGATCAGAAAGCATTGTTCTTCATTCATCAATGTGTGGATGTAAACGTGTTTGAGAAGATTGCAGACTCTACAACAACAAAGGCTGCATGGGACACTCTGGTGAGATGTTATGGTGGTGACGCATCAGTGAAGAAGGTGAAGCTTCAGTCCTTGAGAAAGCAATATGAGAATCTCAACATGAAGAATAATGAGAAAGTTTCTGAATACATCTCCAGAGTGATTCTGATCACTAATGAGATGAAGGCATGTGGAGAAACTCTTTCTGAAGAAACAATCATTGAGAAGGTATTGAGATCCCTTACCTCTCAATTTGATTACATTGTGGTAGCAATAGAACATTCCAAAGATCTGAGTACCATGAGAATTGAAGAGCTGCAGAGCAGTTTAGAAGCGCAAGAGTTGCGTTTGACTGAGAGAACTTCTGAAAGGGAAGTAGAGCAGCAGGCTCTGAAAGCAACTTCTGATAGGAGGTATCAGAAGCAGTCAGAAGCCAGGAGAAGATCTGATGGTGGTCAGAAGTCAGAAAGCTCAACCTTTGATAGACAAAAGAATGCTCAGAAGGGAAAAGAGAAGTATGACAAGAAGAAGATCCAATGTTACTGTTGTAAGAAGTTTGGTCACTTTGCTAGAGATTGTTGGTCAAACAAGGAGAAGAAATCAGAAGAAGCAAATATAGCCAGAAGTTCTGATGACGAATCTGTGCTATTGATGGCCTCTGAATCTGATGATCTGACAGACTGGTGGTATATGGACACTGGCTGTTCAAATCATCTTACTGGAAACAAGAAATGGTTGGTTGACTTTGACTCTGAAAAGAGGATAAAGATCAGATGTGCTGATGACAAATATCTTAATGCAGAAGGTATGGGAAATGTCAGAGTGATTCTGAACAATGGGAAAACAGCATTGATTCAGAACGTGTGGTATGTACCTGGCATCAGAAGCAATCTGATGAGTGTGGGACAATTAATTAAGAAAGGTTTTTCAGTTACCATGAAGGACAATCTTCTGAAGCTGTATGACTGCAATCAGAAGCTGATTATGGAGTCAGAACAGGGAAGGAATAGAACATTCAAGGTGAATGTCAGAACTGCAGACTCAGAATGTCTTAGTGCAACATGTGCTGAGAAGGAGAGTGAGTTGTGGCACAGAAGATTTGGTCATTTGAATTTCAGAAGCTTAAAACATCTGAATTCAAAGAAGTTGGTACATGGAATTCCTGCAATTAAGAAGTCTGAAAAATCATGCAAAGTTTGCATGGAAGGAAAACAACCACGTTTTCCATTTGCGTCAGAAGTTGCTCCAAGAGCAAAACATGCCTTGGGAGTTGTACATTCTGATGTGTGTGGTCCATTTCCAGTAGCATCAATTGGAGGGAATAAATACTTTGTGTTATTTGTTGATGAATTCACAAGAATGACATGGGTATCCCTTATTAAGTTCAAACACGAGGTGTTTGATGAATTCAAGAAATTCAGAATGAAGGCTGAGAATCAGAGTGGTCAGAAGTTGAAGATTCTTAGAACTGATGGTGGAGGTGAGTATAACTCCAAAGAGTTCCAGAAGTTCTGTGAGGAGAATGGAATTGAGCATGAGGTTACTGCTCCTTATACCCCTCAACACAATGGTCTTGCTGAAAGAAGAAACCGTACTTTGCTTGATATGGTGAAAAGCATGCTAAAGGAGAAGAAGCTTCCTCAGAAGCTCTAGGGAGAAGTTGTTGCCACTGCAACGTATGTACTCAACAGATGTCCTACAAAGAAGTTGAAGGAAATAGTTCCTATGCAGAAGTGGACTGGAGACAAGCAAAGTGTTAGTCATCTGAAGGTGTTTGGTTCTGTTTGCTATAAACATGTTCCAGAAGCCAGAAGACAGAAGCTGGATGATAGAAGCAAATTGATGATTCTGATAGGGTACCACAGTACAGGTGCATACAAGCTCTATTATCCAGAAACCAATAAAATTGAATTCAGCAGAGATGTGATTGTGAAGGAATCAGAAGTTTGGAATTGGGATAAGTCTCAATCTGATTCTGATGTTAGAACTTCTTAAGAAAGGTCAAAGTTAAGAATTTCTGAAGTTGAAGTAAACTCTAACGTTGATTCTGACTCTGATAGTAATTCTGACTCTGGAGAAGACTCAGAAGATGAAGGTGACTCTGATGATCCAGACTCTGATGGTAATCCAGATTCTGGTGGA